TTAATAATACTTAATAATTTATTTAAAATATTTAAATAGAGCGAGAGTGAATTTTGCAGTGAAACATTGGTAAAGAAGAAAAAACTGTTTTTCTGTGGACATTATTTACAGTTGGGCTGTTTTTTTAGGTTTTAAGTAACATTTTTAGTGAATTTATCTGTAATTTAACAAAACAGGAACAATCTGCAAAATAAGAGTAAGTTGTTAAAAAATTTTTACATTTTTTAAAAATATTTTTTTTACAGTGTAGAAAATTCTGAGATTCTTCTTAAAGCTCAAACTGTCCTAATGCTCGGCTTTAATGTGGATTATGATGAATTATTCAGCTCATAACATGAAGAAAAGCATCAAATTGTCCAAACTAAACAGAGAAAGTTGATTATTTTCTGTCATAAGCGGCCTGAAATATTCCTTTATGATCACAACAGTTGGTCTGTGTTGCTCTTCCTCTGCATGGAGCTACTTTCCCACCACGCTGGCGGTCTTCAGGCTCTGAATCGAAGCCAGCTGCTGCTCTTTCCAGCAGCTCTGGTCCTGCTGGGGTTCAGCCTTCAGCAGCTGCCTTCGTCGTCCTGATCCAGGATTCTTGTGTTCGACCCCCAGTCGCCCTGATGAAGCTCCACAGCTGTTTGTCAGCAGAGTGAGAAACGTCAGCGAGGCTTCAGCGACTCCCGTCTGCAGATAAAGGAGTCGACGAGTCCAGAGAAGGTGGATCACATCAGCTCCATGAAGCTCCAGCCTCAGATACGACTCAGACGCTTCCTGTCAGTTCAAACGTCTGCAGCTTTTATCCTTTAAGACGCAACAACGACACAAAAACTAATAACTGCAATAAAAAGGCTGAATGAAGTTAACTGAGCTTAAAACCATCAGGAGAACGTGTGTGTTTGTCAGACTGAGATGTTGTTTTGTGGTTTGTTCTGATCTCAGAGGCTTCGTTCGTGTCATTAAAGTCCAAACAGTGATTTTAGTTTGTTCACTGTAATGATGTGTTCGGTTCCTTCTGTTTGTTTTGGGTCATTTAAATCTCATTTTGCGCCTCAGTCTGGTCTGTTTGGTCGTTTTGCGTCCTGTGTTGCCTCCTTTGGTTGAATTCTTCATCGTTTTGTTTGTTTTTCTCTGATTTTGATCATCGGGGTCTTGTTCTGCCTCCGTTTCCTCCTCTTTGGTGATTCAGTCGATTCAGCAGATCGTGCTGCTGATGAACTCTGTGACCCGACTCTGATGACAGAGTCCAGCTCTCTGATATTCAGTAATTAGGCTCCACACTAATCACTTCTGTGGTCGCTTCTCTCCAGCTTGCGGTGTTGAATGTTGCAGCTCTGACTGCCGTCTCTGGAACATTTGAAGAACGTTGAGCCTTTTGGTTTCCTCTGAGCAGTGAATCCACACAGCTGCTAACAGCTGGATCGTCGCGCTGAGCTTCTGGTTTCTGGTGAAGCTGCTCGGTGTCTCGGTGTGACGATGACTCGCTGACGACTCGCTGCTTTCTGCTGCAGGTCACGGCGAGTGCCACTGCGGGGAGTGTAAGTGCCACGCCGGCTACGTCGGAGACAACTGCAACTGCTCGACCGAGACGTCGACCTGCGTCTCCGACGACGGCCAGATGTGCAGCGGCAGAGGGAGCTGCGTCTGCGGCCGCTGTCAGTGCAGCGAGCCTGGAGCTTTTGGAGACACCTGCGAGAAATGTCCCACCTGCCCCGACGCCTGTGGAACCAAGAGGTAGGAGCAGAACCCGTTCATGAACACCAACACCGGTACCAGACTGACCCCAAACGTTCAGGCGACGTCTGCTATACTAGAATCAGCTGATGGAGGTCTCTTGGTAGCAACGCTCGACATTAAACATGTTAAATATATAAATACTGGAGGACCACTAATACCAGGAAATAGAGCTCCTGTTTTTTAGAGACAAACTGATCAAGTCTTTTTTTGCGAATACAAACTTCAAGCAGCCTAAAGTTATTCAAACCAGTCCATTGTATGTGACACATTCATAAAAACTGCCTCATTCCTCCAGTCTGGTTCTTCATGTTCTGTAGGTGGAACACATGCATGAGATCAAACTGGAATCAACTCAGATGGTTTATTCCCAGTGGATCAAACAGCAATATCAGCACAGGACTTATGAACTGATGATGATGCCTTTATCTCCCATCATTTAACCTGAGGGGGCACCAGCGCTGCATCCTGGGCTAAGCTCCGCTCAGGACACTGCTTTAAAGAAATACAAACGAACCAGATTGTTTTTCAATTCCCCTGTACAACAATTAATCTTAAACTAACAACTGTTATTAACGTTGACTGTTTCATACTGTGTTAAGGCCTAACCGCCTTGGCAGCAAACAGCATTGTGGGGGTTTAGCTAGCAACGGGTACCAATAATGACTTTTAATGACTTCTGACTAGGTTCATTAACTCTCATTTGATAGCACTGCTCACTCTCATCACCTCTCTGATTCTGATTCTGATTCTGATGCCGAAACAGCAAACGTTTCACCAACACAACTCTCCCATCATTTAACCTGAAGGGGCACCATCACTGCATCCTGGGCTAAGCTCCGCCCACGACGACTGTGATTGGTTTACATAAATACTGACCCAGTAGAACAACACTGAGGAGCAGCCAGATCGTCCTACTCAGCGCTCTAATTTAATCGTTAAACGGTTTTATTCGTGTGATTGTTAACGGTCAGTGAAGGTTTCCTCGCCGTCACGGCTCCACTGACGGAACGTTGGTGGAAAATCGAAACAAGACGCCGCGATTAGCTCCGACGAATGTTGCTCCGGTGAACCAGATGAGAGGTCAAACCGTGAACATAACTCAGCCTGACGGACTCATCGGAGCTTTGATGACAAACTCAGGAGGTGGCTGTTCAGATAACTTCCACTTACGACCCTCAGAAGGTGAACTGCTGTTTGAACTTCCATCAGGTCAGACATCTAGTAAAGAGAAGCTGCTTCACTGTTTGTCAGCAGGCTTCAGAACCGACACATGGATCCGGTTCTCCACCGAGCTTCACGGAAACACCTTCGACCTCCAGTTTGAACCAGCAGTTAGAAGCTGTTCAGTCAGACACGTGCTCAGATTAGTGAACGCTGGTTCAGTTTATCCTCCCTCTCACCTATTTCAGTTGCATTTTTAACGTTTCATTACTAATTTTATCTCATTTTCTTTTGTTTACTTGCCAACATCTTCTGTTTGGTGTTGAAGTTCGGCGAGTCTAAGTCACACATAAAGTCCAAGAGGAGAGAACCATCCATGTTGTCCTGCTCTGGCAGAGGTTTTGTCTTTATTTTCAGCATCAACATGTTTTTTCATGCTGGAAATAGTAAAACTAGTAACAAAGCATGTCAGAATGTGAACGCTCTGCTCTTTAAGCTAAAGCACAGTTAATTAATTAGGGCTGAACAACTTTTAAAACATATGTAATTACAATTCTCTCTGGCAGAAGCTGCAATTTGCAAGATTTTTTCAAAGTAAAGCTTCTGTTGAGCGTTTACAGTTCACTTCAGGATCCAACCGTCTGAGCAGAGAAGCATCGCCGCGGTTCGCTTCTGAACTACTGGAGCTCAAATGCAGGTTTTAAAGCTGCAGCAGATGGAAACCTGTAAAAACATCCTCCTGCTCTTCATTGAAGAAGCCGAGTCTCCAAACTAGACGTTCTAAACCCTGAAAACATCTGAGCAGCTGCAGGAGTGTAGGTTCCTGTCAGATCCCGACGCTTAGACGGTCCAATATTTGCCCTTGTTTAGATTGTTTTGGTTATTTTCACAGATTATTGCTGATTAAATGCTGCTGTCGGCGCCATCTGGAGCCCAAACGTCTGAACCTGAACAAGAAGCACAAACGTCTCCACAAATCAGGACGTTGTTAATGCTACGCTAACAGCTAGCAGCTAAGTCAGCAGGCTGCCGCAGATAAACAGCGAATGTGTGTCGTTTCCAAACCATCGATCTTTCCTGAGTGCCGATAATCGATGTGTGCATCAGTAGAGCCTGTTTACACCACGACCTGTGCAGCTCCATGTAGAACAACAACAACAACAACAACAACAACAACAACAACAGCTCGTGAGTCTGCGGTTGTTGCAGCTGTTCTGGTCTCTCACGGTTCAGGCTGCTGCAGAAGCATCTCCGGTGTTTGAGGAGGACTGGTGCAGCAGAACCAGAACCAGCTGCAGCAGAACCACACGGTCAGACGGTTCTAACAGCGGCGCTCTGTGTTTGTTCTGCAGAGAGTGCATCGAGTGTCGGCTCTTCAACTCGGGACGACTCGCTGACAACCAGACCTGCCAGAGACTCTGCAAGGACGAGATCATCACCGTGGAGACGCTCAGTGAGTCCACACACACACACACACACACACACACACACACACACACACACACAGTCAACACAAACACAGACAGTCAACACAAACACACCCACAGCTGAGTCAATGCTGAGTCATTTGAGACATTTTTTTTCCATGTTGGGCAGGTTTTGGGTTATTCTGAACAGTTCTTCGATGGTTTTCAAACCGTTTTTAGACAAAACAGTTTCCAGCAGATCCTGATGATCGAATGGTTCCAGCAGAGGAGACAAATATTAATGATTTATNCTGCAGGTTGGAGTCGCCTGTATCCAGGACGGAGAAGTAACTGAGTACATTTACTCTCACTGTGTGCTTCAGTACATTCACTGGAGTCATTCTGCAGTTAAAGTTGCTTTGTGGATATAAAACTAATAAATGAAATAATGCACGGCTGGTAGAAGATGTGTAATAATATCTATTAATCTAAAACATGACAATCTGTGTTCATATTTATGTAGTTTTAATTAAGCACATTTATAAATACGTGACTTTTACATGTACCTGGGTGTTTATGAAGTTTACGGTTATTTTAAATGTGCTTTTCATGCTGGATCTCTGGTTTTAATGACACGTAATTCAACACTTTTTTGTTATTTTACTAGATATTATCTGTAGTTTTATAAAAATAAAATAACAATTTAAAGATTTATTTGCCGTTTTTCCAGCTTTATTATACAAATGTGTCGTTTAAACAACAGCAACTGTCTGTAAAATAAGTTGTTGCTGATTTAAATGATGAATTATGAACTAGTATTTGTGAGAATGCAATTTTACAACGTGAACATTATTTACAATTTTGTTGTTTGTTTTTTTTATGATTAATGTCAATTATTGTTTTTAACTGTACTTTTATAGTTTATTAACAAAACAAAGAAAATCTGTGAAAAAATATTTAACACTGTTAAATCTTTAAAATACAGATTTTTTCTTTTGAATAACAGCAAATATCAGTAAAAAAAACTATAATAAAATAAAAGTAAAGTAATAATTAAAAATAAGCAAAATTTTACGTAAAATGTGGTACAAGTTCTCAATGTGGATGTTATTTACATTTTTAGATTATTCTTGTAAAATTATTTTTGTTAATAGTTTTTTATTCAGATTTTTCTGGATATTATCTTTAATTTAACAAAACAGGGAAAATCTACAACATAAGAGTTGAATTTTTATTTTTATTTATTTTTGAACCAGTTGTCCTTCATATACATAATTTTTTTCTGCAATAATCACAAACATCTCAAAAACAATTTTACTTTGCTGTTTTAAATACAGTAAAGATTTTACAGTAAAACGATATAAAACGACAAATAGCATTTATAAAAATATTAACTTATGATGTGGACGGTACTTAAAGTTTGTTTTGTTTAGAATATTTGTTATTAACATGTAAATTTATAGTTTGTGGTGTCAATGGTGAGTTTACTGGATGTTTTCTGTAATTTAATAATATTTTAATAGTATAATAGCAAAAAAAAAAAAGAAAACGTTTGTTGATCTTAATAAACGTCATTTTTCTCTGGAATAAAACATATTTAAAACTGTTTCATTTGCTGATTTAAATGCAGTAAAAACAACAGATAGCGTTTATTTTTTGTTGTTCCTTCATGTTTTACAGTGTCTGAGTGAGACTGTGTCAGTGTGTCAGCCCGGCCGCCTCCAGAACCTCCAGAACCAGCAGGAGGTCCGGCTGGAGGCGACACGGAGCCAAGATGTGAAGTCATGGAGGTCAGTCAGTGCAGAGCCGATGGAGGAGTAAAACATCGTCCGTCCATCCGACGGGTTCTGAGCAGTGAAACCAGAACCGGTCCAGAAACGTGTCCGACATGTGTGCAGAGGATCTGACGTCATCTCAGGGCAGCGGTTGGAGTTTCCTGGTACCGGACGGTTTCCCAACAGCTCAACAAACATCCTTCAGACCTGATTCTGTTTCTTTATGTTGGTAAAAGTTCAAACTGACTGAAAAAACTAATTCTGCTGTTTGAACCGGGCCAGACTGTTTCCAGGTGCAGAACTGAGGAACCTCGAAGGACGAAGCTTCCAGGGTTTGAAGGAGGTTTGATGTTACTGAAAGGAATCTGGCTTGAAAAGTAAGAAAACATAAATACTTCTGGATCCACCAGGAACCAGCTCCTGTTTGACTTTTATTGTTTTGTTATATTTAGACTTTTTAATGGCAACAAACCAGAACATCGGTGGTTTCCTCTGCCAGCATCATGTGGACCTGACCGGCACGTTACTGTCCTGATTAGTCTCTATGCATCTATAATCTATAATCCATCTATCCAGAGTATTAGTCTAAACCTAACTTGGGTGACACTGGTTTCCTTTTTGCCTTCTGGTTTCTACAGTCCAGGGTTAAATCTGAGGAGAGGCTGGGGTTCAGCTGTCCGGTCCAGACCACCATGTTGGGCCCATGATGGTGCTGATAGAGTTCATCTGGCAGCTGAACAGATCCAGATTATGAAATCCTGGAACACATGTAGCAGTTAAAGAAGCTTTCTGTGAGCTATGAAGAGTACATCATACATGTCTTGTCATGTGAACGTCTCTTTATTGTGACCGGGTCGTTTATGGGATGATCATCAGAACACATGTTCTCCATCAGCTCTCTGGACCTGTCCTGTGCTGCTGTCATGTTCCAACCTAGACGTGAACTAAAGTCTTGTGGACCTAAAAGAGTCCTTCTGATGGTCCGACTCTGGGTTCTGAACCCTGCTCTGGTCTAACTGGTCCGTCTGTTTACAGCAGTGACAGCGTCCAGGTCTGAACCACCGGTCCAGCCCAGGAGCCTCCTGCTGCCGCCTCGGCGTCTCCTTCTGATCTTCCTGCTGCTGACAGACGTGATGTCAGCGGATGAATAATTCAGAGCGTTTTTACTGTAGTGTGACGGTGACACATGGAAACCATGAGGACCTGGTGGACGCAGCTCCAGCCCGGTTTCCATGTGTGGGCCGACGGGAGGCGCCGAGCAGCAGCACGCATCACTTCCTGTCAGTCTGGAACCAATCAGGACAATTAGCCCCGAGGCCGGAGGCAGAGGGATCATGTGTTCATATAGCTTCATATGGTTTCATGTGTTCATATGGGTTAATTTGTTCATGTGTTCACGTGTTGTCATGGTAACCTGTGATGACCACATGAGGCTCTGACCCCAAACGTTCCTGTTTAACATCAGATCCACAGCGAGAACGTTTCTACGTGGGTTTTATTTAACGTCTCGTATTTTTATGTTCGTCTCCGTTGTTCTATAGAAGGAACTAATTAACTCTGTTTTTACGCTCGCAGACGTCGCGTTCTCTGAGTTTTACCGTGAAAACGTTGTAAAACATGAACGATTCAACATACAGAAGACAGAACAGATCAGACTGTACACACTGTTCATATCACTGAAATACAATCTGTTAGAAAACACAGAACACTGAAAAGCCTGTATAACAATATGAGGATAGTTCTATTGGATCAAATACAGTAAAACACTCGACCTACAGCCAATACTTTATTCTGTTATTTATCATTTAACAAAACAGAAAACAATAATGTAAAATAATGGTGAAAATATTGTACTTCCATGGTAAAAATAAATAATTTAGTTTCTTTACATGTCAGAAAATAGTAAAACGAGTCCATCAGAAGTTTCCATTTGGCTCATTATTGACCTCAAAATGTTCAGTTTAAAAATAAAATCCTGTTTAAAAAAACAAAACAAAAAAAAAATGGTGACAATCTGGCAGCTGAAAACAAACTGTGGAAAATTAAAATTAACAGCAAATTAACAAACTCCTTTCTGTAATTACAGACTGTTGATGTGAACATCATTTATAGTTTTAACACTCAAAAGGTTAATTTGTACTTTTTTCTGTGATTTTAATCGATATTATCTGTAATTTAACAAAACTTGGAAATCTGCAGAACAGCAAAACAAACCAGAGAAAAAAACTGTTAAAGTTTTTCTGATGACATAAACACAGTGTCCCGGTCGCAGGTTTTAGTTTCTGGTTTCGTTTTGTGATTCCTTCCTTTCTGTTTCCTGTCTGTAGGCTTCATGTCCCTCTTCTTGTTCCTTCCTGTTTTATTTTGAAATTCTCTTTCCTCGTGTGTCGCTGGTGTTTTTACTTCTGTTCCTTGTGCCTCTTTTCCCTCCTTTCTGATTGTCCTGATCAGTTTTCTCTCATTTGACTTCGTGGGTTCGTCCCGTTTTGCTGCCGTCATGTTCTCCTCACGTTCTTCTTCTTCTTGTTGTTTTTTTTGTCTTTTTGGTTTTCGTGGATTCTTTATTTTTTAGATCTGTTCTTCTCTGGATTACCCGTCGCCTTACATTCATTCACCTGTTCCCCGCAGTAAGTTTCTTTTTTTTAACCTTTGTTCTTTCCCACGACCTGAACGTCCGTCGACACGTGGATGTAGCTGACGAACCCCGACTCAGTCTGATCTGGGACCAGCTGGAAAAGTCAGAAACAGCAACAGGAGCCTGGAGGGTTTCTCTGTGTTGGATATGATGAAAACACAACCACCTGCAGCAGCCTGATGTTTACCTGTTGTAACATGAACAGAACCACATCGGACCTATAAATTCGTCTTCATACTTTCCATCACCACGAGTACATGAAGGTCCGTTTGGGTCGGCTCGATCTAAATGTTGTTTCTGTCTACATCTACATACGACTACCCTACAAGGCCAATAGTGTTCATGTGTGGAACAAAGTCCTCAAGTGGACTCAACAGTAGTGTAGTAACCATAAAGTTCATGGTCCAGTTGTGTTACTGCCACCATCAGGAAGGAAACACAAACTAGCAGCTGCTGCTGAGAGACGANGAGACTAAGTGGAGTTTGTTGGGGTTGAAGCTGGTGACTGACCAGAACATATTTTAAAGTGTAATAAGCTGATGAAGGGCAGTAGCTTTGTTCTCCTCATAAATCTCCAGAGAGCATCGCTGGTGTCTGACGCTGGTTTTTATTCCAGTCGGAGCTGATAGCGAGCGACCAGCGAGGAACAAAGCCCTCATTGTTTAAGGCGTCGCTGCTTTTAATGAGGGCCATAAATATGAAGCAATGAGTCGCGTTTGTGCGTCTGTGGGCTGAAGCGTCTTATTTTTAGCCGGTGACGAGAACGTCTGTGGTTCAGACATCTCAGAGGCTCTGAACAGACCGACGGTCGGTTCAGCTGCAGGTTAGAGGAGATTTAACTTTATACCACCGAAAAACTAAATGACGTGACATCAGAAAGGCTTCAGGTGAGCAGCAGCTGATGATTTACCATCAAGAGGATCAAACCATCAGAACTTTGATGGAATAACTGAGTCTGAGTCCACGTCTGGCATCATTTTCTGTCCCAAACATCTGAGATCAACCCTGATGATAGACTAGAACAGTTTCTGTTGTGCCGTGAGCTGGTTCTGATGGAGCTGCTTCATGTTTCCTGACATGACTGGAGCTGATAGCTGGTGTACTGGAGGAGCTGGTTCCTGTTTCAGACCTGATCCGACTCCACCGGTGTGGTTCTGAGCCTCCAGCTTGCCCTGCTGCAGAGGCGTTTATTAATAACCGTCGGTGATTGAGGGCCTCTGTGGCGCTGCAGACCGGCGGTTCTGTCCCGGCGTGGCCCCGGTCCAGTTCTGACGTGGTTCTGAGCCTCCTAATAGGCTCCACATGTTCGTTCCAGATAGTTGGAGGATGAAATCAGGAGGAGCAGCCTGACCTCTCCCTGCCTCGCGGGCTTTCGGTCTGTCTGGACCGACGACGGCTGAAACAGGAACCAGGAATCCGACGGTTTCACAGCAGAGAAATTCAAACTATGTGACACCAGAATTTGTCTCTGTGTGAGGCTCACGGTGATCTGCTCTGGTCCTGGTTCCTGTCTGAGGAACAGGTCGAACATCAACCAGAGAGAATGCAGCACGAGTTTTTATTATTACTTTTATTTTAATTTACAGACACAGGTGATATTAAAAAAAAAAAAAAAAAAAAACACAGAAAAAAGAGAGAAATTACATGTTTACTTTAAAAAAAAATAAAAATCAAAAACTCCAAAAAATTCTGTATTTTCATGAATGATAATTGTGTTTTTTTCCTAAGATTTGACTGTGAAATTACTTTTTTTTCCTGTATTTAAATAAGTTTACAGATATTTGCTTCTTTTTAAATTAAAAAAAATCTACATTTAGGACTAATCAATGGTGAAGTAATTTTTTAACTGTTTTTTTTTTTTTTTTCACTTTTTCCCTGTTTTTCCTGAAGGACGGCTAATAACCAGTAAAATTACAGAAAGAATCTTTTTTTTTTTAAACTAATAAATTGCTAAAAATGTAAATAACGTCCTCAAGAATCGGTGTTTTTGTAAACAATAATTGTTCTTTTACAAAATTTGACTGTAAAATTAAGGAAAAAACAATTATATGAAGCTGTTAATATACTGATATTCCATGTTTTTTTCTTAGTTTATTTGTTTTTTTTAAATTACAGATATCTATTAAAGTCACTGAAACAAAAAAAAATTATAATAATAACATTAATAATAAAATATAAAACATTATAAATAATGTCCAAAATCTGAATTTTTACAAATTCTAAGTCATTCTTTTGCAACGTGTGACCATAAAATGAAAGTTTTTTTTTGGTTTTGTTTTTTTTTACATATTTCTTTTGGAACTTTTGCTGCAGATTTTTCACATTTTTTTAATTTATTTTTATTTTTTCCACTGTATTTGTTTTACGGTGCAGAAGGTGAGAAACCTTCCTTCACTCCTGAATGCGGGTCAATAAATGAACTAAAGTGAAGTTTAGTTGTTGGTTTAGAGACGCTCCTCGTTTTCCAACCTGCTCGTCTTTTATTTCTCGTTAGAATGAACTTGTTCCGTCTGATTTAATCGTTCTTCTCTGACCTTCTCTCAGGAACCGACGAGCCCAACGCTGTTCTTTGTCTCTACAAGACGGACGATGACTGTGTGATGAAGTTCACGTACTCTGAACACGCCAGCGGACTGTCGGTCCTCACGGCGCTGAAAGAACCCGGTCAGTACCCCCAGCTGCACCCAATAAAAAAATAAAAATATAATGAAATAAAATAAGATTAAATAAATAAAAATATAACAAAAGAATATAAGAATAAATAAATAAAAATATAACAAAATAAAAAAAGAATAAAGAAAAATATAGCGAAACAAAATAAGAATAAATAAATAAAAATAGAATGAAATAAAATAAGATGAATTTTTTAAAAACGTAATGAAATAAAATAAGAATAAATAAATCAAAATGAAATGAAATAAAAATAAATACATAAAAATGGAATTAAAAAATACAAATAAATAAATAAAAATATAGTGAAAGAAAATAAGAATAAATAAATAAATATTAAGTAAAA